TGGGCTAGATAGTCCTAAAAAAAAGGCTAAAATTGAGCCGATCAGAACAGATACTAGGCTCCTCAAAGCCTTTATGCTTAATCAGGGGTTAATTGATGCGTTTAGGACGCTGAACCCAGAAGATCCAGGATATTCCTGGTTTGGTTCACAGACTTTTCCAGTAAGAAAGAGACTGGATTTCTTCCTCACTAGAGGTTCGCCAAGCGACTGCTGCATTAAAGTAGTTACTGGCTCGTCGTCAATTTCGGATCATTCTCCGATTATGACAACCTTTAAGCTCACACAAGAACGAAAGTTCGGACAGTCCTATTTTAAGCTTAACACAACACACCTGCAGGACCCTGAGGTCATTTCCTGGATCCAGCGTCGCTTAAAAGAATGGGAACAAGCGAAACCCCTTTTCAACACAGAGGGGGAGTGGACAGAGGTAGGATTTCGGATCATGCAGGGATCTTTAAGCAACATTTCACAGATTAAAGCATTTCACAGAAAGAAACAAGAATTGAAGCTCACCCAAATAATATGCAGAGCTGAGAGCGAGTTTGGGAAACACCCGATTTCTGATGCATACTGGACAGCAGTTCGAAAGAGAGCACTGCAACAGCAAGAGGCAAATGAGATTAAACAGCAGGAACAATGGAAGAATTGGCTGGCCCAAAAGAATATAATTACGGGTGATAGAATGACGAAAGACACATTCAGAAGGTTGTTGCTGCAAAATAATCACATGCCAATGCTGGAATTGGCCCACCCTTTCTCGGTGCTTCCACAGATCTCAGACCAGTTGGAAACTATGAGCGAATATGCGCGTCTGTACTTTCAAGACATACTGACAACCCGTAGACCGTTCGATAACTTTGATTCAGATCTGAGAACCTCCTCGGACTTTTGGAAGTACTCAAATGTGACTCTCCAAACGCAAGGAAAACTGGACCTTGAACGACCAATCACCTCGGAGGAGCTTCATTGGGCAGCAAAACAAATGGCATCGGGCAAATGTCCCGGAGACGATGGGATGCCAATAGAATTATGGTGGAGCGAGGCCCCACGCATGTCCCCAAATGTGCGAGTTGAGACTGAGAACTTAGTCAATGAACAAATAAGTGGTGTACCCGCAGTTAAACAACGATTTTTTCCTTTCATCTTTGTCACTTTTACTTTTCGTTATTTTGTAATCTTAGTGGCATTATTTTTTGTAGTTTTACAGTGACAAGTCCCGTTAGACACTCCGTACGGTTTCCTAAAAGGTTCAGGACTCGTCCTTAAGAGGTTTTAAGGGATTTCGGCGGCACGGTTAGATCACTCCTAAAAGAACAGCTTTAAGGACGAATCCTAAAAGTTATTCCACGGCGAGTTTTATATGCGGCGCCGCCCATGTCCGCCTCCGGTACATGAACGGCGCTTGCCATTATTACCTCACCGGTCTACACCTGCGCTGGAACGCGCCAAGCTCTTTCTGGGGCAGGATATGCAGAGTACGCCGAGCGACGGACACCATTCATGCTGGACCTGTTTGAATAATATACTAGATTGATCGTTGTGATGACAGCCTAGCGCGCCAAGTGCTCATTCAGGTCATAGGGGCTCGCCACACTGCTGTCGGAATGCTAAAAGTTTCGACGATTGCCAGAAGAAATTCGACAGCCGCCCTTTCAACAGTTCCAGCCCCCTTTAGCCACACAGCACTGCCGATTCTGTGCTGAATGCACGAACTCGTGAATGCAAGCGGGAAACAGACAAATGCGCCCGAGGATGGGACAAGCGTTCCGCCGTCCCAACCTCAGGCCCATTAAACAAACAGCACTGCTGAATGCACGAACTCGTGAACGCAAGCGGGAAACAGACAAATGCGCCCGAGGATGGGACAAGCGTTCCGCCGTCCCAACCTCAGGCCCATTCACCAAATTCCTATGGGACAAGCACTCGATAGCCGAGCAGAGGACTGTTGAAAACGTTGGAGTTGCAGGCTGGGGGTGGAACCACTCTCGAAAGGAGGTGTCGATAAGCTTTCGCTTGCTGACAACTAGCGAAGTTTTTTCCCGTCTTTTTTTTTTTTTTTTTTTTTTTTTTTTTTAACTCCGCTATATTCTTCTCTCGAATCTTTCATCATCTTTCAAATTCTTTCAATGCACCTTCACTACCTACCTACCACTATTTTCGAAAGCCTGTGTGGCGAGAGAAACTATCGAAAGTGGTGTGGCGAGCCCCATAGTGCAAACTGCACAGTGTCAGTGTTCCGCAGGCAAAAGCGTCATGGTGGACAGCACAAGAGAAAACATTCCCGCGCCACGGAAGATGCTCCGACAGCATCCCGAAAAAATCGAATCGAGTTAAGCCACCAGTACTTGGCCCAGCTATCGGCCACGGAAAAAAATAGACTAGAAAGTTGAAACATTTCTAGTCGGATGAATTTGGCCGCTCCTGTAGTGGCCCGTACGTTTCCTAAAATTCTGGATTGTTAACGCCGGGCACAACTTTAGGAAGTACTGGTGGTTTAATATCACACAGTCTGCTCAACACCTTCACTTTAACCTGGACCGACCTCGAGAAGAAAATATCCGAAGTAGATCACAAAAGAAATGTCATATCGGAGCTTTGGTACAAAATGGAACCACAATGGCAGAGACTTCAAAAAAAAAAAAAAAAAAAAAAAAAAAGAAAAAGGCAGAGACTTCCCCAATCCCCAACAGCCCTTCTCCATTCCTCATCATCCCACAAACTTCGGCATGGTCCCTTCCACTCAGCTTCCACCCATCACCCCCTGGAGCAGCCTCGCTTGCCTTCTCGCCACTACCGAGTCCCACGGACCACACCGCCTTCCACCCCCTCCCCACTGCCAACTCTGCCTCTCTCACCCACCCCTCCACTGCCACCTGTCCCCCCCGTCTCCAACACTAACCCCCCCTCTGCCCCCAACACTCCTGCAGCGTTCCTCATTGTCCGACAACTGTCTCTTATACACATCTAGATGTGTAAAAGACCCCCGGCCTCTGGAGCAGCCCCTCTTGCCTCCGCCACTACCGAGTCCAGGAACCCTCCCCGCCTTCGACCCCCTCCCCACTGCTGACTCTGCCTCTTTTGACCACCCCTCTGCCCCGTGTCTCCATCTCCACCCCCCACCTCCCCCCACTACCGAGCCTTCAAACGTCATCAGCAAGAAGATGGCGAACGCTTTGAACCTGTTGCTGTGCGCTGTGCCAGAGAAAGAACATTTCAACCTGCAAGCAGTCTCCGGTCTCTGGTTCAACGTTTGGGAAAAAAAAAAAAAAAAAAACTCTTCATTAAAGTTCATTTAAGAAAATGCGGAAGGCAACTCGAATACGCGCAGCATCATACAATATGAAAGATATGTTCAGTCGCCTCCCTCATAGGGGCATAGTCCGTGCGGTGGATTGGGTGATTGAATTCAAGTTGCAGATGGGGAGAAAAACTATTAAGGGAGAAAAACTCAAAACTATCAAGGGAGAAAAACTATTAAGGGAGAAAAACTATCAAGCGTGAAAACTATTAAGGGAGAAAAACTATCAAGGGAGAAAAACTATTAAGGGAGAAAAACTATCAAGTGTGAACCCGAGGGGAAAGGGAGCCGTGCTCGATAGAAGCAGCGGGGAGAAATGGTGGACGGTAAGCTTGAACGAGATTTGTGAATATGTGTCTTTTGAGGTGGGAGGTGGGAGGTGGGAGGTGGGAGGTGCCGATGAGGAAAAGTACGAGGACGCCAATTGCCTGCATACAGTGACGCGGGCTTGCCGATGAGGTGGGAGTGCCAATTACTGTTGAGGGAGAAGGTGGGAGTGCCGATGAGAAAAAGTATGAGGCCGCCACTCGCTTGCAATATGAGGTCGGCATTGGTATTGACGACATGCACATTGGTCTTCAAAGTCGAAGTGAGCCTGTTGCATGAACGTAGGTAAGATAGGTAAGACGGGTAGAGTAGAGTGGGTGCTGGGCGCCAGACAGAGAGGAGCGACATTGAATACTGCGTTGTTGGTGTGGCATGAGGGCTTGAACATTGGCTCTATTCGGATGGAATCTTGGTGCATTTGAGCTCTCTGCTTGTTACATGACTATCTGCACTTCTGCACTTCTGCGTCATTTTGCAACTTGGTTTTCGGTATATCGCTCTCGATCATATTCCTTGCATTCGTACTTTTTAAAGTTTTTAGTGCTTTTTAAATTCTTTAGTACCTTCTACAGATTACAGAAAGCTGGATAGGGACAGACTCCCTGACTTGCTCTCGGTCCATCCATGGCCATGACCGCTGCCTGAATTGTTTTTTTCAACCTTTTCCCACTCAGTCCTACCTGCAAACTCGGTCCGTCCCCGGTCGGGACCACAACCTGAATTGGTTTATTCAGTCCCTGAAGGACTGCAGCCTGAATTGGTTTATTCAGTCCCTCAAGGGACCGCAGCCAGAATTGGTTTATTCAGTCCCTAAAGAAAATTTGTAGTACTGCATGTTGGGCGTTGTTTCGTGCGTACGTGATAGTAGGAGTTTTAGTGCTTTTGGTTCTGTGCTTGGGTTTGGTCTTGTGTTGATCTTGCAGCAGGTAAGCAGAAGCAGTTGTGTGACTGCATTTTGCGATTGTCGTCATTAGCTTTGCGATACGTGGCACGTGACTGTGCATTTTCGTGCTGTTGTTTTGTGTTGCTTATGCCATCACATCCTCTCTTTGCGCCTCGCGGGCGATGCCTCGCTCTACTTTGCAGTACCTGGCTCGTCGTGACTCTGCTTTCTGGCGCTGTGGTTTCGTGTGCTTCTGCGACAATGTTCGGAGAGGCTGCCCTTTTTGCTTTCTTATTACTGCTTTCATGTGATTCTGTGATCCTGTTCGGATCCCTTTCGCTTTTTTTTCCCCCCCGACTCTGCAAGGCGGTCCAAAAAAACAATTATCCTTTAAAGTTTAAAAGTTAAAAAAAAAAAAAAAAAAAAGAAGACGAAGCAGAAATTTCAAGAAAGGACGAGAAACAGGAATAATTTAACGGATCATTGGATATTCTAATCGGCGATAAATTTGCAAAATTGTTCCTTCTGCACGTAGTGGTAGGTAGGTAGGAGGTAAGGAACGAACAAACCATATCCACACAGAATCTTTTTTTTTTTTTAACACAGAATATTCTCATTCTCATCTCAACAAATTTCAAAAAGATCTGGCACTGCCGACATAGCAAGCAAAGAGTACGCGAAAGGTGCGCGAAGAGGACGACTAACCGCTACAGCGGTCCATCAAAAGGAGGGCGGGGAGGAGCGGTATTGCTGCACTGACTAAACTTTGGTAATTACAGTAGAGCTCAGAACAGGAATACATGGCAAGAAATTAATCTGATATTAATTTTATTATTACATTGGCCTCATGTTGCCGGCTTCGCTGCTGCCGTTGTCAATGATACCAGTGGCGCATTCGCATCTGTTTTTTTATCAGACGCGGCCGCACTTGCATCTTCCCGACCTCCTGCGCTCTTCTGAGTAGTAGTGGAGGCGGCACCATCTTCCGCCGTCGTGTTTTCACGCTCTGCGTTTTCTGCCGCTGCGGGCTCCGCGTCCATAGCCGTGCTGTCTTCTTCCGCCTCTGCGGCCGTTCCTTCCACCATAGCCGCATCGTCAGTATTTGGCTGCATGCACACAGCATCGCAACAAAACAGAGTTTCCAGGGGGGGGGAAAAGAAAAAAAGCATTGGATAAACAGATCAATGGGCAACAGAAAGGGTGAGAAATCACACACACACACACACACACACACGATCAGCGGAGATCGAAGTCCACACGAAAACGACAACATGGATCTTTACTAGAGCGAATACAATCGAAGACAGGCATGTTAAATAGTTTAACATAGTGTTGAATAACTATTGACAATCTGTTTATACTATGTTGATCAATAATTCAGTTGTTGAAGTCTGTGTTGGTGAACTGTTGATACTGTGTTTATCAACAATTTAACACAAGACTTCGTATTGGATATCATGTTGGAGTCGTGATGAAAATGTGATGACATTATAATGAATTCGTGTTAGAAATATGATGATATTATGATGAAATTATGGTGGACGCTTGCTGGGGTAGTTACCGATTCATATCAATGCATGCATGCGTCCATCAGAGTAGAGGAGAAACATTCGGGTGTAGAACGCCATATCTCAACTGGGGTTTTTATATACCTTGTGTTCGTTGCAATGTGGGTTGCATCTACAAAGTACCATTTGAAGGCGCCCCCCCCCCCCCTCCCTTCCTCCTCCCATGTGATGTGATATGCACTTGTATTGCGTGTAACAACTGACACTCACAGAGTAAGAAAAAACACTTGTAAAAAACAAAAAATGTCCCGGAGTAGAGTATTCATCACAGACTTCTATTTTACCACGTGGCGGTAAGACCATGCTCTAAGGATAACAGATGACCATGATCTATTTTTTTGTTGATGATTCATAATAATTTCAGACCCGCATACATATTATTTCCTTATTGTGATTGATCTGTTGCATGTTCAGCCGTTGGAAAGGATGGATCGATCCAGATAGAAAAAATGACATTGTTCTTAATAACGGTTTTTTACTTCAATATTCCAACACGGTTAGAGATCAAGATTGAGACTGCTTGTTTAAGGAAGGAATGCTTGTTTTTATAATTGGGCGCCCACCCTAATGGATAAACCTTAATACACACTTCAATTGGAGTACTATGATATTTCTATGACACCGTGACATGGTTCAAAAAAAAAAAAAAAAAAAAAAAAAAAAACAATGACGGTAGACTAACACTCTCGTACACATTGTTCAAGTCGACATCATGTACACATGCTTACTGTCACCATGACAATAAGTGATGATAAAAGGTTATGCCGAAACTTATGCTTTCTCCGGAACACAAACAGATAAATAGTTCTATATCCACAAATGATCATTGAATCAGATGTCAAAATGATTCATAAATATAGTGTCTTCGTTTCTCATTTCTTTGCAATCCCTTCTTCTTCTCTCTCTCTCTCTCGCGCGCGCGCGCGTACGCGAGAGCGCATGTGCGCTTTCTCTCTCCACAGATAAGCGAGTCTCGGTTTGTTTTCCTTCAGGTGACACTCGGACACTTTCAGTCATATGGTTCTGTACTAGGGGTCACATAATCACATTAAGGCACCGATGTCATAAGAATGTGGCACCTGGTACCCAACTCTTTCTACCCCACCCACACTTCGCACGAGACCATGCTTTACATGAACTTCCATTTTTCTCTTTCTTTCTTTCTCTCTTTCTCTCTTTATCTCTTTCTCTCTCTCTCTTTTTCTCTCTCTCCCCACAGATAAACAAATCTCGCTTTGTTTCCCTTAAGGTGACACTTTGTCACTTCCAGTCACATCGTTCTGTACTGGGGGTCATTTAATCCCATTAAGGCACAACTATCATAAGATATGACACTCAGTACGCAACTCTTTCTACCTCACCCACACTAACTCGTTTTCTTCGCACGAGACCATGTTATACGTAAACTTTCATTATTCTTGGACCTCTCTCTCTCTCTCTCTCTCTCTTTCTCTCTCTCCACACACACACACACACACACCCTCTCCCTCTCTCCACAGATAAGCGAGTCTCACTTTGTTTACCTTCAGGTGACATTTTGCCACTTAGAATCACGTGGTTGTATACCGGGGGCCATATAATCACATTAAGACACCGTTGTCATAAAATGTGACACCCAGTACGCAATTCTTTCTACCCCACCCATACTAACTCGTTTTTTTTCGCACGAGACAATGCTATACGTGAACTTTCATTATTCTTGGATCTCTCTCTCTCTCTCTCTCTCTCTCTCTCTCTCTCTCTCTCTCTCTCTCTCTCATTTTTCACTCTCTCTCTCTTTCTCTCTCTCCCTCCCTCCCTCCCTCCCCCCTTAGATAAACGAGTCTCGTTTTGTTTTCCTTCATGTGACACATTGTCACTTCCAGTCACATGGTTTTGTACTGAGGGCCATATAACCACATTAAGGCACCACTGTCATAAGAAGTGAAACCCAATACGCAACTCTTTCAAGTTCTACCGCACCCACACTGATTCGCGTTCTTTGCACGAGACCCATGCTAAATGCTTCGTCTCCACACTTCAAATCTCTCTCTCTCTCTCTCTCTCTCTCTCTCTCTCTCTCTCTCTCTCTCTTTCTCTCTCTCTCTCTCTCTCTCTCTCTCTCTCTCTCTCAAATGACCGTGTCGTTATGATATGAGCTGCATGCACGTAGTCCCACTACATCTTGAGTCATGTTATCTTTGTCGAAATAACAAAACTGTCACTGTCAATCTTTCAAGGTCCTGCTCATAAAGCTTAAGGTTGTGTCTGAGGGGCGAAGACTTCGAATTCAAAGTCATGTCCAGTGTTGCTCTTCTTGTTAACTACACTTATCTCTCTCTTTGTTTTTCCTGCGACGTAGTACTGTGTTGCCACATCCGCCACACGTGTGTCGAGGTCGAGCTTGAAAATGCAAAAACTCTTTACCGTGATTCGGTTTCTTGTTGCATTTACTATATCATTCTTTATATCGGTCATTTTCAGCAACTGATCTGATTCCTTTCTTGACTCTTTTGTCTGTTCTATTTCTATGCGAATCACAAGTTTGGCAAACGGTAGTTGCTGCAAGGTTACGACAAGGTTTTCCCTGTCCGTTCTTATTTGAAACACTTTTGTGAGTGCCCTCTTGAAATGAGGCGCTCCCCATGGCTCGTCGTCCTTCCTTCTCCACGTCTTGTCTTTGTTCATTTGGACGCGAAGTTCGTTTCTCATGACGATGTTGTGATCCGACTGTGTGCCACGTACGAGCGAGAGACCTTTCTTTGCCCAAAACCAGTGTCTCAATTGTCAAGTGAACTCGCCACAAACCGTTGTCATAATTCGGTTTCGCTCTACAAGCACACATCGCACACCATTGTCCTCTGAATACTTCTGCAGTCCTTCCTTGACATCTCCTCCCAACAAGTTAGCAGCCAACTGCAATAAATTCAAGAACTCGTCCTCTGCAGGATAGAACGTTGCGTCTCTAATTGTCGAGTGCACAAAAGTTTTTGCAGCGGACCTCAACAATCTGTTTTCTTTCTTTTTTTTTCAAGTTTTGCATTCGTCTCGCATGCCACCTGCCCAACGCTCTCGATTTTTCGCCTCGTTTTGACAATGTGTCCCTCCTTATACAATCTCGCGGTGTGCAATAACGTTTTTAACAACAACAAGTTGGAAGTATCCCCCACTCATATACATTCGTTTACCAGGAAAAACAACCACAATGCCACGTACATATTCAAACCCATACACACACTTCGTTCGTTGTTTTCCTTATTGAAAAACGTTTTTAGTTCACAACCTTTTTACACTAACATCAGGTGATGAGAATAGTTCATCCAAAACAACATGTCAACCGAGTATTCACATGATGTTTTGATTATTCTCATACACTGTTTACTTACGTCCTTCAATTGCCCTCTTCTTCAGAATTAAACGCTTGTCGGCATTGTTTTCCTCCCTGCCTTCACCACTTGCTCTTCCTTGCGTTTTTCTCAACTACTTTGTTTTCTTGTCCTCGCTACGTTTTTCTTCCCTGCTACTGCTTTGGGATAATTCTTCGTGATTGTCATCTTCGTCATCGCCGTCTCGTGTGTTGTTATACCCATTGTCATTGTCGTTCTCTTCGTCGCTCTCATCTTCGTCATATAATTGTCCTTCCTTGAATGTGTATGTGTTGCCTCCTTCACCGTCCTTTGTGTCATCATATTCTTCTGTGTCGCTGCCGTGTTCCTGTTGCGTCTCGTGACACATCTCGTTGTTCGTACTCAACTGCCTCGACACCTTCCTATCCCTCCAAATCAATAAGTGTCCCCTTCTCTTCCCATTTTTTTTTAATGGTTCTCCTCCTCTTCACACGGGTGATGTTCTTGCGAGTTTGTCCTTCACCCCCTTGTCCGAATGACCTTTTCTTTGGCACCTGTGGCGAAGAGTGTTTCCGTCACATGTGATACTTCGTGAATGTGGGAGATGCGAGAGCTGACTCTTGGAGTCGTTCTTTTTGCATCAAACCTATTCGACTTCGGCGACACTGGAACCACTGCATGGTCCGCACATAACTTCATCAACGGTGACATTGAACTTTTTTCAGTTTCCCTTTGAGCAAAGATATAAACGTTGTGTGTCAATCTCGGTACCACTGTACGACGTGTATCTGATGGTCAATCATTACTCCCGAGATCTATCTCCTGCCATCCGTTCGTCTCTACCTGGCTGCTCGTCCAACATAAAAAGTCACGGTTATTCCGATAGACAATTTCCTGCGGCGATAAGCTTGGATCTCTCACTACTTACATAAGAGCGTCGATGTCGTTGAGCGACATCTCTAAGCCACCCCTAAAGGACAACGTTATCGCAGCGAGTCTGCGAGATGTGTCGAATGGCCGCACATCAGGCAGATCTTCATCTTCGAAACTACAATTAAGTTTCCCATTCACTTCTTCATTGACAACGTTGTTACCCCCTCCCCCCGCCCGCTCAATGCCATCCGGTGCAACCTCCTCCTTAGTGGGTCTATCGTTCCCTGCGTGTCCATCGTCATCATTCATTCGACGAGTCATGGACAACATACATGCCCT